AAAAAACATAATTGAACCCAAACAATCCCTTCATGAATTGGATTCGAGAACACAATTCAGACCTTCAGCATTCATAAAAGCTATAAAACCACTTCTTTTATTATGGCTTATACCATTCATTTGTTTTTTGTATGACACAGTTCCAATTCCAAAAAAAGGTTAAAGACAGTAGACATAGGGTCATAAAATGCATAGACCTAATGTAATGAATTGCATAGTAAGTAATAAAAACATCAACCATAGAAGAGATTTCATTTTCCAAACATAAATATCTTTTTTAAAGAATGGAAACTTATCCTTTCCATGGATAAAGAGAAAGATAATACATATATAAAGTAAACACAAGATCAGCACATACATAAAATGGTCATAAAACTAATTATAGATATTAAATCTACATATATTTAGAGAAATTCACATAATTGTATTTTCTAAGATCAATGTTTGAGGCCTCTAAACTAAAAGCCAATTAAATCAATGACCTTTGATATACTGCTTAAGCTAAGAGCTAAACTTCAAAATCAAAGCAAATGTGACATAGATAATTTAGGAGCAAATGAACCAGCAAATATCCGAGAGTTGAATGACCAAGCACTTCACTTTCCACTTAGAACAGATATCAAAATTCAAAGAAAGAAACACACTGCATGTCCTAGAAAGAGCAAAAATGCTTTGCCAAATCAATCAACTACAAGAAAACGTGGTAATTTAACCAAAAAAAAAAAAAAAACAGCTTTGATCTTATTCCTGCCATATGCATTGAAATCCGAAGGCTTAAACCGCATGAGAAAACGTGGTAATTTAACCAAAAAAAAAAAAAAACTTTGATCTTATTCCGGCCATATGCATTGAGATCCGAAGGCTTAAACCGCATGAAAAAAAAAGGATGCAAAATGAGAGTAAACATTACTCTAATGTGTATACGGCTATGAATGGCATTAAGACGGATCCAATCCACAGCTTCCCGTCCTTCTCCTCAACTTCGCTGGCAGCTCTAACCACCTTTCCTTCTCGATCCTCCAACATTTCAAGCAGCTCTCCTTCAGGGCTGTACCTGGCAATAACCGCATGAAGCTTTCCACCAATACGCACCAAGAACTGCAATCTTGCTGGAATTGGAAGTTTCAGCAGAAATTTTGACAACCGGAGATATGTGCTCAAGATATAGGCAACTCTGGTGGCGCGGCAATGTATTGCCACCCAGAATTCTCCCTTATCATTTGTCCTCACATTATCTGGAAAACCAGGCAGCTGAACAAAAACCTCAGATGTCCCAGCCTTGTCACCCTTCAACCAATATCTACTCAACCTGCATTGCCACAAAATTTTGAGGGACAAATAGTTTTTCAGGCTCTAAAGATGCAAATCAAAAGAAGAAAATGAGGCACAAAGAAATGTTAACCTTCCACGACTGCCTTCACTGAATATAAGGAAAGATCTGTCCTTGCTTAGGGAGACGCCATTAGGGAATTGAAGGTCTCTAAGGAGGACTGTTGTTTCTTTAGTGACTGAATTATATTTCAGAAGCCTCCCTGAAGGCTCAGCAGAGAGCACCAGTTGAATGAAGTGCCTACAAAGCAACAGACGTGTCAGTTGTTTCTGATTAAATAGTGCTATGGTTAAGTAATAGTGCAAATTGCCTGGCTTGTTTATGACTTACTTTAAGGATTAGTTCATTATAAATATGAAGAAGGGAGCAGTGTCTTCTAACCATAGAGCAGAAACGGCTGTCATATATATTAGAGTACCATTTTTTAATTAATATGTGGAACCTTAAGCAACGAACTTGATCTACTGAATAAAGCGTACCACCGAGATTTTAAGAGAATCTTGCTCCATCCGAGATTTAGATCATACATGTTTTAGATTTAGCATGAAGGGAAAGCTAACTGTGCTGCTGGTGAGGATCTTTCTCCATCTGAGATTAGGTG